ACATTTATCGATCATGTATATATGATCAAGTTTCAATTTTTTTACGAACTTAAATGAGATAAGATAAAGTTTATACGTAAAGCACGAATGAATGGTAAATACAAACTCTAAATTTAGGCGAAAGTTATGCAATATTTTGAAAATAATGATTTTTAGAACTAAAACTATTTTTGACCTCAAAAGAAAAGTGTTTTTTGAACTCTTAAAAAAATAAAGAGCTTTTCTTAAATTGTCTAAATTTAAATTTTATAAAATAAATTGATTACATCTAAAAATAAAAGTATCTATATTATGAAGCAACAATTTGAGTCAAAAAATTTATTAAAGAAATTATTTTAAAAATAAAAACTAATAAATATAATTGTTTATTTAATATTTATTGTATGAAAAAAAATTAAACAAAAAGGTGAATTGGCATGGAATTGAACCTCATACCTTTTGGATACAAAGTAACCCCACTACCATATGAGTTATCCTCCATATTGTTGAAATTAGTGCAATTATTATATATTAAAAGTTAATTATTATTTATTGTGTTTAAAAATTAAAAAGAGGAGTACAATGAAATGGAATCGAACCTGAGTATCTTGGACGCAAGACCCAACGTGCAACCACCCAATTTGCACACTATTTTGCTAAATGATTCTACAAAACATATATATTATATTTAATATAAATCTTTACTAATTTTTTCCCTAAGTGGATCCAGCACGGGCGGCTGCGCTAGCTCGTCGGGTGCTGGATCCGCCCTACTAACATTTTTCTTCAAGAGAATAAGTTGAGACAATAGGTTGGATGAAACATAACATAAATAAAAAATATATTTAGATAAGTTTTTGCCTTTAGTTTTAAATAAAAAAATTTTGTTATTTGACTTGACTACAATTTTTGATGAGAATAATTTTTTTAATTTAATAAGCCTTTGTTTGAGCTCAATGTTGAAAAAATAGATTTTGCAATGGTGATTTTTTTTTTTTTTAAGAAAATGTGTAATTTAAAAGCAGGAAAAAGTTTTAGATTTACGTGTATAATTAATTTATCGGAAGAATGTAAATTTAAAAATAAATTTAGCCTCAGTTTAGTAGGGATTAAAAATTAAATTTTTAATATATTTTGATAAAAGTTAATGAAATGTGTGGTTGAAAAGTTGCAAATCCTATAAAATATGCAATTAAAATTAAATGTTAACTTTGAATTGAATTGAAATCTCGATTTTAATCCAAGGGACTTAAAATAATGAATTTTAAAATAATGGGGTTCAAACATAGGTTTGAACTTTGGCCAAAAAATTTAATTAAAAACTCATTTATCAATATACTTTTCGAGCTTTGCCCAACAAGCCCCCAAAAGCCACATTTGCTTCATTGCTTCCCAAAAATTCCTGTCCTCAAAGTAAAGATGAAAGCATCAGTAAAGCTCCAAGATCTTAACCAAAGCCACCAAAGGGCTCAACCTCACGCGCCGCTTCTCCTCCGTGCCAAAATCCCCATATCAATATTCGATCTCCCTTTTCTCTCTCACTTCTCCACCACCACCGCCCACCCTTCCGACCTCTCCCTTTCTCTCTCCACCAATTTCCCCTCTGGACCATCCCTTAAACTCTCCTACTCCACCACCACCACCTCCGCCGCCGCCTCCACCACCCCACCTCTCACTCTTACTCTTAAATCAGGTACTGGCCTCTTTGGTTCCCCCAACAAGTCCCCCCTAGTTATAAATGCCAACTTCTCGTTTAACCCTTCCAATCCTAACCACCCAAACCCTACTTTCTCTATTATGTTTAAACCACAAATGGGCTCTTTTTCTCTCCGAAAAACCACCTTTTCGCACAAGAAATCTGATATTAGCAACCAACCGGATAATGGGGATGCCAGTTTTGGGACAAACTCATTTGGGTTTGTGCCACTGGAGAGGCCTGGTAATCTTAAAGAGTTTGAAGTCGAAAGGATTGATAAAGATTCAGTTTTTAAGGGCATTTCAGCGATGGCGAGGACACAGATGGTTGTTGCTAAGAGAGTGGCTTTGAATTGTAGGTGGAATGTGAATTTTCCAGAGGATTTCGAGAAGAAAATGCCCTTCTTGAAAATTAATAAAATTGGTATTGAGAGGGTTGATGAGGCTATGAAGGAAGAAAAGAAAAAGAACGAGGGAAATGCGGGTGATTTGGATGTGTTAAAGGGCATGTGTTTTTGGATGAAAAGAGAGTTGGATGTCTTACAAAGAGAAAATAGGGAGTTGAAAGGTGAGTTGGAGGAAATGAAAGTGGGACATTTAGTAAGGAATAGTAGTGCTGCTAGAAAGAATGGGATGCCAGTAGTCGAGAGTCCTTCGGGTGAGTTTAAGGAGTGGAGGAACAAGAAGAGCTGTGAAGGGGAAGAAAATGGGAATGGGAAGAAAGAGGCAAAGAAGAATGGTGCTCGACCCGGTGATTTGGAGAATGAGTTGCAGAGAGCCATTAAGGCTGCTACTGCTTCATGAATCATGATGCTTTGATTTCATATGTAATGTTGATTTACTTCATAATCACTTTAGAAATTTTATAAATATCTGAGTATGTATAGTATCACTGTATAAATTTGCATTATGTATTACCACAAAGCATTTAAGAAGACATGGTCGTGAAATTTCTCTAATAATGTAATCAATTTGCATTATGCATTACCACAATGCATTTAAGTAGACATGGTCGTGAAATTTCTCTAACTTAATCGTGAAGTATTAAAATTTCCCTAAGCAATTTCATTTCCTCACTTTTTTTCACCGAATTATATCTAGAAATGTTGATAGATTTCCAATAATTTGTTTTCTGAATGGGAATAGATTTCCAGTATTGCTATTGTACTTAATAGTATAGGATGTGTTGTTTATTAGATTTTCACCTAATATCATACGAGGTGATGTAATAATTTCAAAGCACCCTTCTTTGGTTTTAATATCTATTTGATGCTCTAGTTGCAAATGTTCATGCTGTGTAAAACGGTAATAGTTCACTATGAAGTTAAAAGGCATTGTTGATTATATATGTGTAAAGAATGTTTTTCGTGTATTGTAACAAAAGAGTTGAGTGAATATTTAGACGAGATTGTTAGATGGTTTGCACAAGATAATGCATTTAGTTATTAGGTTATGAACATGAAATTTAACCATCAAATAACCATATTATGAGAAAAAGGAAAAGACATGATACAGGATAAGAGGTAAATAATGATCTCCTGATTCAAATGAATTTTTGGAGATATGCTTCTTACAAAATAAAAAGGATTTCTTTGATTGATAGTTGCTGAGGACCTGAGGTACCTGTTAGGTCACAAACTATATTCTTACAGCCATAAAAGGCAAGGCTTGTGATTTCTTGTTCACTCCAAGTGTTGTTTCTTCCCATTATCTTTTCAATTTGAATATCAACTAGAAAATTTTGCTGTCAGTATGGTCATACGAAATTTCAGGTGCTCTTTTGATATTCATTCTACTATTCTGGTATTTAACATCTGGCAAAAATTGTCTTCATTGTGCTGCTATTTGGATCAACAGATTCTTGTGTTGTGTGATTTTGCGACAAACAGATCTAGTTCCTCATTTGTTTCCCTATTGTTATTATTTGTAAAACAACCAATTCGCATATAGCCTTGTTGCAAAGCAGTGTGGTAGGATGGTTGCTTGGAGCTGGCATTTGTAACCGTGATTCGAGTTTTCTCTTGAAGTTACAAGGTATAAGAACTAGAGCATCATCTGTAACTAGCTATACCTTGTGTTATTGCTTTTCATTAGGGATTGGCTATCTTCTTCATTTGCAGCATGTTTTCTCTGAGTTAGATTTTTTGAGTTAGAACTTTCATGCATGACTAGTAGTATTACTTCATACTAGTGTTTATGGATCATACGCTTTTTGGTATTGCAACATGAGTTAGCCGACTATGTTTTGGCAACCGATCCCAAGCCTAGTAAAAGTGGAGGGTTGCGGTAGGTTGGTTGGTAATTTAAAACTTTGTCAAATCTTATGATGTTGCTACATGAACTACATGCGTGTGCCCTTTTCTAATGGAGTAAATTTGTTGGCAATATGTCTTATATAGAACTTTAAACTATTTTGATGATTAATTTTCTTCTAATACGAAATATTTTTAGCAACACCTGGTAAATGTATTTACTGCAATGATATTTGGATGGATGGATGGAAATCATATGGACTGGTCTTTTTGATAGGGATATCAAATGATTTTGGATTTTGGTTGGGGAAGTCTAATTTGGTCATGGAAGACGCCAACACATTTTTTGACACATCGGCATATTATATTTTGGCATCTTCTCTAGAAGAGATATATGTCGAGATGTCAAAAATATATTAACGAGACAATAAGTTCTAGACAGCAGCTTTCTGTTCGTTATGCACACTAGCAGAGCTGCTAAATAATGTTTGATTTTTAAGGTAGTGAAGGAGATAAAAGTCACTGTGCAATGAATTCCTACTCTCGTTATTACTAATTTGTGGAAACTAAATACGGATGAAAATGGAGTCGTGCAATATCTGTAATTTTGGTAGGAGTAATGCTATTCATAATTTGCGACAGTAGTATGCGTCATATGTGATTAGTTGTATTTATCTCGTTATTTGAGGTAATAAAATTATAGAAAATTAATGTTTCAAATAACAAGTTATCACGTGAATATCATTACTCCAACATTGTTTATTTTGTTAGGAAAATAGAAGCAAAGGTTCCCGAACTTTGGCGTGCATTGTATCTTGGTCCCCAATCTTTAAAATGAAGTTTTTACGTTCTCTATCTTTCATTTTAGTTTCACCTATATACCTGTTGGAAAATTTTACCATTATCTTTAGTTAACTAGCTAAATTTTATTGAAAAAATGGTAGGGGATTTCATTTAAAAGGTTCGGTCAAACCAAATATTTGTTTAAAAAGTCCAACATCCATGCCTTTTAGTTAGAATGCCTAAATATATAAAAAATGGAAAATACAACTTGTAAATGACTAAAAAGGTCATTGTATACAAAAAGATATTATTGCTCATAATTCCATTTCAATTTTCATTTAACCCTAATTGAATTCCACCTTCCATTTCTTCTACAAAAATCGACTCTACAGGTGTGCAACCCCTTTTTATTTTTTTATCATCATTTTTTTTTTCTAGATAATGAAATCATAAGCTCTGCATTCTCATTCATACGAACACTCATTTGGTTGAGTGAATAATAAAATCTTGCAACATTCTTGTTGGACATTTGGAGAAAAAAAGGGGGTATTGTAAATTTTCAATATTTGGGTTCTTTTTTTTCCTCCATTTTTTGAATCATTTCTTCATGTTGTTGTATGTATGTTTATGGTATTCTGGGTTATTTCCCAATTTTTTTTTTCTCACTACCCTTATTTGTATTAACTGGAATGAAATGTAAGTTGGTAAATGCATGTTTGACTATTCTTTTCATTGTTTTACTGTAAAACATACATTTGATTTTCTTCTATACATAACGACTTAAATATTGTTTTCTACAATCCATAACGATATACATATTGCTATCAATACTGTACTTGATGAAATTTTTATGTTGAATTACAGTTATGGACACCACTGATATGGTATGGATATCAGTTTGTTATCCAGTTGGATATGAGTAGTTAGTCGAAGGTGCATGGAAATAAAAATATGTAGGAAATGGCAAAAAGGTGATTAATGTCGATACAAGGCTGTACAAAATAGAGATTTCAGCCCTTATCCCTAAAAAGTCTAAAGTTCGAGTTGCTCCGACCATCATTGATTGTGAAAACAATGTGAAACAGTTTGTATGTGTCTATAGAGAAACTCTTCTTTGTGCAACCCTTTCGAATAAAGTTGTTGAAAATTAAGAAGAGTTTGGTGATGAAGGACGTTTATTACTAATAGAGGGTGGAGAACAAATTGCAAATATGAATAACAAAGAGGAACATGTTTGATGGACAATGATGGTAACCATGACAATAGAGATAAAATATTTGTAGATTGTAATGGTTTTAACGTAAATGAAGAGAGTCCTCGAAGAGTAAATGGTGAAGATAATTCTCATGTATCAGATGACAATGATGTGGAGTTACACATAGATGAGCCCTGTAGTCATTGTATCTGCAAGTGTAGTTCGCTCCGTTGTGGAATATCAGTAAAAATTTCGAAAAATGAAAATGTGCAAGTCAACTAGTTGTTTCCATCAAAATATGATCTAATATCCAAATTGCAGGTGCTGGCTCTAAAGTGTCACTTTGAATACAAAGTTAATAAGTCAAATAAGGGCACTTTATATAATTATTTGTATTGATAAAAATTGCAAGTGGTGCTTGCGAGCATCTAAGATCGTAGAAAGTTCTATTTTCGAAAGTTCGAAAGTTCTATTAAGATCTTGATATTGTAAAAACAATTACTATTGATTATGGTAAATTTCTCCTCCTCTAACTGTGATTTTTTACCATCTTGGATTTTCCACATAAATCTTGATATTCTTGTTTTGTTCTTATTTATTTCATTATCGTCATTATCTTGCGATCAATTTACAACAAATAAGTAAAATAAGCATACCAAACAATTAAAATCATAAAGTTTATATTTAATATTTTTTGAGTTTCCAATTACACACTTCTTTCCAATTACACACCTCTTACTCAATACAATGGGGATTAAACCGCTAATAGTAAAGAAAATGATAAATATATAAACATACCAAAAATATTTGGAAAAAAATAAGTTATATTTAAAAATCAATTATACATAGACAAAAATTACTTGCTAAACTTGGCTAAAATTAATTTCTATTATGTCCACTTTCTAATATCAATAGAAAATGATACAAAAATCTATGTTATAATAGTTTTATGTGTAACATAATATAAATTAATTTTAACTGAGTTTAGTAAGTGATTTATTCCGGTAGTCGATAGGTATCTCTTTATAATTGGAGTATCATCCAAGAATCTGAGTTTCCAATGGCTTTTTGTAGCATCTATCACTAGTCTATGCGAAGCAATAGGAAATTATCTTTATTGCATGCCCAACAAGAAATAGATGCACAGTCACTTCTTATTGATTGGATTCAAGACCTAATGAGGATGTATTTCTTCCCTGTTGAAACTGTTAGCCACCATCATAATAACCTTTTTCTTTAAGCCCCTTGTATCTTTTTGCATTCAGTGGTCGCATCTTCTGGATTTTAGGAGAAATTCCTTTATGACATGATTGTTGAAGCTGGAAAATATTGCTGAGTTGGAAAATTTTATTCTTCAAAATCTGAAATGGTATCGGTTGTGAAACAAACAAGATACCAGAATAACTCTGATACCAATTGTTGTGAAACAAATCACTGGATTGAGATGTTGAAGTTATATGACAAATAATAATGAAATATATGATCAAGCAAAAGAATAATATAGACAAGAATATGGTAGAGGAATTAAAAGATTTTATTGACTCAAGAATAATAGAGAAGAAAAAAATTACAAT